GGCTCCGGGAGCGGCACCGGCACCGGCAGCGGGAGGGCGGGACGGGGCAGCGCTCCCCGGGCCGCCCTGACCTGCGCAGGTGCGGGCGGACCCCGGTGCGGGCAGGGCAGCGCTGCGCTGCCCGTGCGGGATGCGGGCAGGGTGCCGGCCTGCCGTCCCCTGCTCCGGGGTGTCGCACCCTCCGGGATGCAGGCAATGAGTGTCCTGGCTGTCATCTCCCCCTCCGGGGTATCCTGCCTGATGTCCTGCCCTCCAGGTTGTAGGCGGGATACCTTGCCCGTTATCCTGTTCTTCAGGGTGCGGGCAGGGTGACCTGCCTGTTGTGCTGCTCAGCAAGGTGCCCTGCCCGTTATCCTGTCCTCCAGGACATCCTGCCCATCATCCTGCCTTCCAGGGTGCTGGCAATGCCCTGCCTGTCGCCTTCCCCTCCAGGGTGTCCTGCCCGTCGTCCTGCCCTCCGAGGTGCAGGGAGGGTGTTCTCACCACCCATCAATCCATCTAACCCTGGGGTGCTCCAGGTCCCTTGCAAAGCCAACCCAGCCCCTGGGAATGACGCTGGGTGCGAGGCTGTCTCGATGCCCATGGGACACTCTGCCTTTCCCAGCTCCCAGGCTTGGGGTGTCACCCCTGCAGAGCCAGTGGCACACAGGTAGGTACCACAGGACAGAGCCAGCTTCGGTTGCTGGCACTGGGAATACACAGCTGCACCAGGACCCAGCAATAGCCCAGAATGAGGGAAAAACACACAAATTTTGCGAGGTGAGAGCAAAACCCAGAGCAACCACTGCTGTCAGGGCCGACCTGCTTGACATTGCCAGCGCATGGCTTCTGTGGTGCTGCCAGGAACTGGGAGGCCCTGTGGCACCATCGTGCAAAAAAAAAAAGCCCAACCCAAGTCGGGAGTTTCCCCGCGGTTTTCCCCTCTTTGTCTCCATTGCGGGGAAAGAGCTTAATTAATGTCTGCAGAGAGCAGGGAAAGCTTGCTGTAATTGCTAGGTATGATTATCGGTGGAGGAGAGGGTGCTCAGCAGGGTGGGAGGGACAGGCACAACCCACCTTCTTTGTATAAAATGAGGCATATCCGAGGCAGCTTCGCTCCCCAGCCAGGGAGCTGCCTGCCCAGAAAGCTCAGCTGCCTGGGGGGACTATTCCCCAGCTCCATATGCCCACTGGGACCAGGCAGCACCTTCGAGGTCTTCTCCTCGCTGTGGACAGTGCCTGTCACCCATCGCTTGTCTCTGCAGCCTCCTGACAGCTGCTCCAGACACACGAGTGCAGAAGTGCCACCATGTTCATTTTCTGCATCCATAAAGCACAATTTTGCATCTCCAGGAATGGGATGAGGGTGAGGGGAGATGGAGGAGCCTGGCCACCCTGGGATTATGCAGGGACAGGGAGGGTGGCTGGCCACGGGCTGGGTGAGGTAAGAAACTCTGAAATAATGCAATATGAAGGCACCCACTGTTGCTGTTTTCAGGCTCTGCTGAGCAGAGGGGGCCAAGGAATGGACTTGAAAAGAACAGCAAATGTTGAGCAGATGCTGAGGAGCGCTTTGTTTCACGTGCAGAGCTGTGCTGGGACGGGCAGGAGGAGGAGGAGGAAGAGCAGCAGGGGCAGCAGTGCTGCTTTCCTCCACGTGCTCACGGGAAACCATTGCATCTCCTCTTGCATCATGGCTTTGTTGCAGAGGCGGGTTGTGGATGAGAGCTCACCTTCACAGGCCAGCACGGTGCTGTGGAGGGGGCCACACAGTGATTCCCCAGGGCTTTGGCCCCTGTGCCACCATTCCCACTGTTCCCACCACTCAAGGCAGGAGGAGGCCAAGGAGCAGCAGCCCATCAGAGACTGTGGCTGTAAATGCTGTAAAAGGTGGTTGGCAGCAGGGATGAAGCAGTCCGAGCCATTAAGCATGTAAATTAAATTGATACAGACCCCAGGAAGAGGAGATAGGGGAAAAAACAATTACACAACCAGGATCAGCGAGGTGCTGCCATCCTACACACACTGCTGACATTGCTTCTCCAGCCTCTTGTGGTGGTGTTGAACAGAAGGTCTCCCGGGAACTGCCCCATGCCTGCTGGGATGCAGCCAGCACAATGACTCCCACCCTGACCCAACAGCGATCTCAAGTACCCCTGACAAGGGTCAGTTCTGCCTGGTAAAGACACCTGGCCAAAAATGAGAAAAAAACACCCTCTTACAGGAAAGGCAGGAAAAAAATCTGATTTTCTGGATGCAGATCCTCGCAGGATGTTGGGACCTGGAGGCAGGAATGTGCCTCTTGCCCAGAGTGGGACAGGCTGATGGAGTATTTACACTTTAAAAAGTAACTTTAAAGCACATATTAGAATCATCGAATCATGAAATGGTTAAGGTTGGAAGGGACCTTAAAGACCACCTAGTTCTACTCCCCCTGCCATGGGCAGGGACACCCTCCACTATCCCAGGTTGCTCCAAGTTCCCTCTAACCCAACCTTGAACACTTTCAGGGATGGGGCAGCCACAGCTTCTCTGGGCAACCTCTGCCAGTGTGTGACCCACAGGCTGCAGCAGCACCTTTCAGACCCTTAACATTGTTACAATACTACAGATGCTGGGTCTGCAGAGCCTCTTACCACATTTCCCTGCTCTGGAGACCTCCCAAAAACTCCCACTAGCTGCTGTGCAGGTGGGACTGTGCAGAGCCAGCAGCAGCATCTCCACTGTCCGGGTGGTGGGATGCTCAGTGCATGGGACTGGGAGCACTGGGAGCCCAGACTTCAGCCCATGTCTGCTGAGCCTCGTGCACCAGACACAGAGACAGGTGAGGGAAAGGGAACAACCACAATGCCCAGATCCGGATGGGAGACTCAGCATTCCCTGTCTCCCAGGGCTTTATCCTGGGATAAAGGATCGCAGCCAGCCGCTCCGTCCCCTTTATCCTTGGAGTGGCGGGGGGGGGACAAAGCCCCTTGGAGCAGCCACATGCTCACACATCCGCAGGACGGGCTGTGCAGAGGCTGGTCCGGCTGAAGCAGAGCTGTTCCTGAACAAAGAGGGAATCACAGCTGGTTTGTGCGGCAGCATCCGGGCCAGCCCCAGCCTCCTCCCGCACGCTGCTCCGCAGCCTGGGCCGCTGATTGGAAACCGGAGCCCGCCATCACTCCGACAGCCGGGAATTATGCTGATGGCTTTTTTTATTATTTTTTTCCACCCCTCCCTGTGCTTGAATGCATTCAGCAAATACAAGCAAAAGAGGAGAATAAAAAGGCGAGAGAAAATCCGAACAGATTTAATTTTGGATATGGTGAGAAAGGAAATTGTTGCAGTGCGAAGAGGGAAGGTTCAGGGGGGAAATGCTCCTGTCTCAAGGAGGAATGAAGCTTCCAGGGATCCTGAGGCTGCATTTTAGGATTTACAAGGTCGTATTGACATGGGGGGTAACTGGTGATATCGACCCACAGGGTCCCACTGGGACCCATCCCAATCCAGAGGGCAGGTCTCTGGGGCAGCCACAGCACCATGGAGGGCAGGAGAGAATGCAGGGATGTGGGACAGGACTGGTGATGAAGCTCTGTGGCTTCACCAAATCCTCCCTAGTTTTACAAAATGCATCCTCTGATGGGAAGCGAAGTGGCTCAGTTTGGGTGAGGGGTGTGAAGGTTTTTCCTGGAGCCCCCCACTAACAGCCTGGGCAATCATGCTGCCTGGGAATGTTGTATCAAAACCAAACCCCAAATCTGGCCTTCTAAAAAAGGCCCAAGTGAAATACTGTGAGTGTTCAACTTCGTTTTGCAGCAAAGCTACTGGTGCATCTGGGCTGGGGCACGGCTCTGGTCGATCCAAATGATGCTAATTTTGGAATCAATAATTTACCTCAGAGCTGTTACTTGCTGCTTGCTGCCTGCTCTCCAGTGGGTCATCCTTGGGAGTGCCTCTGGAAGCTCTCTCCCCTTTACTCCAGCCTT